GTACGCATCTGCAGATGTTTTTTAGAAATTATTTTCTAAACACGAAAAGACTTAACAAACATTCAGCAGTCTTATAAAACTCTTGCATCGGTTGTGTTAGCAATAATTTCACGGTACTTGCAGCACAATAAAGTCATATAAATGCCAGATATTAGAGGTATCATGAGAGATTAACATATAAAGGATAGAGGCAGGGGAGCAGATAAGGATGGTAGTATTGGTAGATGCTTTTTCTTTTCTTTTTTTTTAAAAAAAGATTTAAAAGTTTTTTTTACGTCATATAGTCAGGTGAACGCGATAGTTGTTTAATAAGAAAGGTACAAAACATACTAGAGCCCTCACCAACCACCTACTCCCTCTAACCTACAACCCTGCAGACTCCCCCCCCCCTTCCCCTTCTCACACCACCCTCTCCTCCCCTGTCGCCCAGCACCGCATGGGTCCAGGTGAGAAGTATTACTGAGGGAAAACTAACCAGAGGAAGACCAGCAAGAGCCAGCTCTCAAGTATATGATTTTGTCAGAGCTCTGTGGCGCCTCTGGTCTCTGATACGTTAAAAATGGTTCAGAGCGTTTGGGCAGTGTTTTGAGTTAGAGTTTGTGTGCATGTGCGTTAACTGACATTATGAGGGACGACAGATTGGGTGAGACAGAGAGGGCGAGACGGAGAGAGAGTGAGTGTGTGTGTGTGTGTGTGTGTGAGAGAGAGAGAGAGAGAGAGAGAGAGAGAGAGAGAGAGAGCGAGAGAGAGAGAGAGAGAGAGAGGAGGTGGAGATAGAGACATAGAGAGGTGAGTGAGGAGGGGGACATAGAGAAGGGGCAGCAGAGGGAGTCTCATCATTGTACACAAAGTGATAACTATGGTGGCTGGCGTTTCATAGGTACTTTCTCGCGATATTTTCCCTTATTTAGAGGAGACCATCGTCTGTGTGGGAAAGAGAACACCGACACGGATGAGACATAGATCTACAGCCAGACGGGGACTCAACCTCTATGGTAACTGTCCATTAAACTCCCTCATGACATATTATTTACTTACACTACTTTATATATTTTCTGGCATTGCTAGATTATGTTGAGGGGAGGTGAAGTTTTCGGCGAATAGCTAGATTGCAGGCTGTGATTCTGGATGTTATTCTGGTGGAGGACGTCTTTGGCGTCATCAAGCCAAGTTTTTTGTTGTATACCCAACTTTTTCTCGCCTGACTCTCTTGTGTTGCATGCCCATGAAATGGGTGGGTTTTTTATAGGAGGCAAGGGGATGGAGGGAGCATTCTCTTCAAGTGACCCCGAACTGATGTGTAGCTTAAAATAAAGATAGTTTATAGCTTTCCTCCATACGGCATCCCATCCCAATCCCAGCATTAACTACGGATCGCCCACATCGTAGTCAACGAGAGTACACCGTCCTTGGTGAGTTGGAAACGAAGTACCGTGCGGGTATCTCACGTTCCGACGAAAGTAGTCAACAATTCACTGAGAAAACAATAAGTGTAATCAAGATAATAGACAATAATTTACAAAAACTCTTTATCTCTGTCGCGACTTGAGTGCTTTACGGTAGGTCTGGTAATGAGTTGCAATAATCTAGTATCTACCTTAGAATTACAAAGCTTTATCTGCTCAGTATCTAGTTTTGAGAAATTTGAAGTAAAAATGTTTGAGTTCCACAACATGTCAAGATTTTTTTGAATGAGACTCTTTTGAAGATCTTGATAACGACTCTTACGATGTTGATAGAGCAGATAGATCATTTGGTTACTAATCTCTTGATCTTAATAACTCAAAACGGCCAGTTATGTCAGATAGAACTTTGTAATTCTGAGGTAGCGAATTGTAGAACCCTGAGAAACCCGATCTGGAAAGCGGATTCACTTTAAGGCAATTAGTGTTAATCAGCTGAGAGTAATGCTGCTTCTGCACAGCTCACATTGTTGGCCGGAGGAAACAAATAGGTGGGTGATAATATAAACCGAAACTATAATTATGCTACTGACTGAATAGATGAGTCTGTCGTTGGGCAGAGTTATTGAACAAGATAAATGTACATTTTACATGCTTGATTATTTTCAAACAAAGTATTATTCTCACTCTGTTTCACTGAGCTTTGCTTCTTTCTAAAATACGCAACGTTCGGAAGCTATTCATACCTGGTAACAAACAGTGAAAGTGAAATGTGTATACAAAATATCTGTTCTCACTTTTATATCCACTCTCATTCACATTCCATTAAAAATCACGTTCATATCCACTCTCTTTCACATCCCATTAAAAATAATAATAAAACAGGCTATTGACATTTTTTGCAAGTTCTTGGGTCACAATAATTCTATCAACAAGCAAAAATCCCACAATAACCGCGTAATTTCTTTTTTCTCCTAATTATAACCTCATCCCCGAGAAATGTGTACCTAACAGGGCTCGATCTCTCCCCTTTCTCTCTTCCTCTTTCCACCTCTCTCTCTCTCTCTCTCTCTCTCTCTCTCTCTCTCTCTCTCTCTCTCTCTCTCTCTCTCTCTCTCTCTCTCTCTCTTTTACTTTAAAACTTTAAAGTCCCCTCTCCCTGACCATTCACCAGCCTCCTCTTTCTTACTCTCTCTTTCTCGTTAGCACCCTCTCTCTCTCTCTCTGTCTTCTTGGTATAACCGACCCTCTCCCTCTGTTTGTCGGTCTCTCTCTTTCTCCCTCACTCACTCACTCCCTCTCTCTCTCTCTATCTCTCTCCCTCCCTCCCTCTCTCTCTCTCTCTCTCTCTCTCTCTCTCTCTCTCTCTCTCTCTCTCTCACACACACACACACACACACACACACACACACACACACACACACACACATTCTCACATTCACCACCATCCCACTGCCCCCATGGCCGTTCCACTTTCCTTTCACTACCCATCTTTCTTTCTCTCTCTTTCTCTCTCTCTCTCTTTTCCTCTCTTTCTCTCTTTCTCTCTCTCTCTCCATCTCTCTCTCTTAGTCTCTCTCTCTCTTTCTTTCCTATCTTTCTCTTTCTCTCTCTCTCCATCTCGGTCTCTGTATGTATTAAAAATAAATTGTTATTCAAGGGCAACTTAAAATTTCAGGGAACATTGCAATAAACTGCTGTTGCAGTTGATGAAACCGCAGGCTAGAAGTGCGATATGAATAAGAAACATCTCTCACCCGCTAACTACAATTTTTAATACCTACGTTCTACAACGTTTGACTCGAATTGGTTCTGGTGGAGTAATGACCCTGGCAAACTTTTAATATTCCAGATTGCCCTCTAGTTTGCTTCATGAATCTTGACCTGGAAGTCCATTATTGCATCTTGCATTCTGCCAGTAATAATGAGTGACCCTGCGACACGCCATAGCCTTTTTATTGGCTGTTGATAAGGATTTCATAAAACTGGAAACGATTATGACTTAGAAAATCAATTATGCTTGATTGTGAAATGACCAAATTGTGCCTAAAAGGCATGAAGGAAATTCTGACTGCCCTCAACTATATCATTACCAAACAGAATAGAAGAATTTTTCTGCAATGTGCTTGAGCATAAAAATGTATTAGTGTTTGCCGTTGTAAACAAACTTACCCCACGAGATCAATTAGAAGTATGTTATTCATTTTGCAGATTTACTTAACACGGAAAGTTATCTCAACTAACATTATACCTGGCTATGGTGAGAAATAACTGGTGCAAATCCAGGAACGGGACGTTTGAACTTTATTTCTTTTTAGAGTCTACAAGGATCTCTTTCTTCATGGACCCTTATTACAAAAATTGGAGATGAATGTAAAGCGTTGAGGTATCACGTATTAAATAAGCTAGCCGTGTTGATAAAAGATGTAGAAGTCAAATACATGTAGTAAGATATCATACCCAAACAGGTACTGGAGAGCCTTTTGTTTTCCCCACCCTGTGATAAAGGTTGGGCAGAACCATGTGGTGTAGTCTGCTCCTTCATTTTTCTGTGAAAGTAAATTATATTCCTCAACCACTACTACCATCCCCTAACACAAACACACACACATACACACACTCACACACACACACATACACACACTCACTCAAACACACACACATACACACACTCACTCAAACACACACACACACACACACACACACACACACACGGGTAATACGCACGCACGCACTCACGTCTAAGAAAGTATCCCTCTGTGCTGGGTAAAGCTTTGACAACAT